GATTCGGTGCTCGTCGAATCATCGATTTGTACACTGGAAAAAAAAGGTTGTATCAACAGTATTATTTTAATTAAAAAAAATTTTATTAATTTAATAACATTATTAATGAAACAAATACGTCATGATCTTGTTTAAATAAAATTTTATTTGTTTCATTAATGGCCGGTTGTTCCATCTTCGGATAAACTATATAATATATAGCTATATAATATATAACTATATAATTTATCTACTGAATAAACAGAAGAGTAAAAAAGTAAGAGTAAGAGAATGACAAGAAATTTATAAAAGGTAAAACAGATTAACCTTATACTGTTATTGAAAAAAAAATAAACAAAGTTATTTTTAATTAAAATAATATTCATGAGTGAAAAATATCGTATATTCGATCAAGGCATTTGTGATATTACTACTTTGTAATTTTAATTGTGATATTATTATTCCAGTTTCGGTTTGGGATTATTGTGTTTCAAAATCGACAAATAATTTACGCACAGTTTGCTTAAACAGAAAATTGTTAAACATAAAATTGCAAGAAATATTATTAATGAAATTATAAGGTAATAATATTAGAAATAATTAGGTAATAATATTATTAGATGAAATCTCGCTTTGATCAAATATGATATTTTTCACTCATTGCGTTTCTCATCAATTGATTTTCACTTAATTTTGTTAAAATAATGCTGTTGACGTAACATCATTATTTGTTTTTCAATATAACTATCTTATATCCATTTCTATCAATGTAGATCAACTTTAATTTTAAAATTTATTTTAAGTTAAAATAAACTAAAATATATTAAAATATGTTAATATTTTGTATTTTCCTGGATTTCCTAATCAGGCCTCCTAAAATTGATTTGAAATTTTTAGATGTTCTAAAATCACAATTTATTCATACTTTAAATAGATTGTTTGAATTATCTTTTAATAATCTTTCCCTGTCTCTTCGCGCCTCAATTTCATTTTATACTGTGATTTGCGTAGGAACGGACGATGTGCGAATAATTTTCACAAAGTTTCACAACACCCTCCTACAACACGCCGGAAGCGCAAATATATTGCACAGCCAGTATAATATAATTGCATAAAGGAGAAATCTCGGTTTTGATTTCATTAAGAAAACCGTTATCTGATACGGATTCTAACGCGCAAAAAGACTAATTAAAAAAAAAGGAAAAAATTTTTCAGTTTTAAGTAAAATTACATTATTAGTTATGGTACGCGTTCCTTAAATATGCACATTTCTTTCGCGATTGATATAACATGGAAAAATTAGCGCTAATATAGAAAAAGCTAATTATATAATTCAAGTTACACGAAATTTCCACATTATGTTATGCGAAATAATTATGAACGGATTTAGTATTGTTCTTTCTACTCGTAATATTAAAAGTATCATAATATATAAAATAATCAGGTTTAAATATTCAGGATTTAAAAATATAAGAATTTTAAAGCAAATTTTAAGTTAATTTTAAAACAAAATAAAAAAATAACGAAGAATCGTATGATTCTTCAGTCCTTTTTTATCAAAAAAACTTGATACTTTTATTCAAGATTTCAATAACTTGATAAAAAATAAATAAATATCAATTACTCACTATTTCGAAGCATCCAAATTCAGCACTAGATCATAAACAGTTTCAACGAGTCGCATATAATATGGTGGTTCAAATGGGTGCATCAACGTCACCTGGTTTTAATCGTCGTTTTCCGCAGCTCGCGTATCGTCTGTAAACAAAAAAAGTTTATCTTATTTGAAAGACTTTTGTCTAACAGTTTGTCCAAGCGGTGGACAAAAAGCTTGCTCGGTAATTTCGCGGTTATTCAGTCGCGTGTTTAAGCATTCGTTTCCTTATTCGGTTCCTTATTGCATCCCTATTGTCCTCGTCGTAACATGCTCTCTCTCGCCTACCTATCTGTGGGTTTTGCATACACATGCACGGTCTAAGCGCTTCCTGAATTAGTTATAAAGAATTCTCCCGACCCTTCTTCCTTTGACCGTATTACACAAAATCGATGTGCAAGAAGGCCTGAATATCGTGACGCAGCTTCTTTATAACGTCATCACACACTCGCTATTTTAGACGTCATTACGTCAAAGAAGATGCAATACTTTCATTACGCTGATTACACCGGCTATTTTACACATTAACGATTTATGACGTAGACGTAAGGCGACGTAATGAACGTTCCAAGTTTATCCCATTCAGGAGAGATTTTTAATGAAATCTCCTACGATGCTTCATGTAACACAATAAAGGATCTTCTACATAGAAGTTGTAGACGGTCGTAGAACCCTAAGTCGTAGGAAACTGACCAATTTTAATCGAAAATTCTCCTTATATTTGATTGTTTCCTACGACTTAAGACTCCACGAACGTCTACGACTTCTATGCAGAGGACCCTTAATGCTTTAAAACTCAATAACGTTTTTTTTTTATTACATAATTGGACATATAAAAAAAGAATCGTTATTGTATAAGATTATAAGAAAAATAACGATTTCCAATTCCAATTTATAGAAGAATGCGCAACATCCTTTCAATACAATATACCGATACAATGAATGCAAAAGTATTCGTACAGATTTTTTAAAAAACATTTTTAAAAAGTACATTAATTGACAATTTATTGATAAAGAATAAAATAGACTGTATATTTTTCAAAATTATTTTACCTAAAAAGTATAATAAATAAAAATATTATGTATAATAATAAAAATATTAAATTGTATTATTTATATAAATTGTGTTATTAGACGCACAAAAAGTACAGTCGAGAAATTTATCATCCAAGGAATCCTTTTGTTTATATTAGGATAAACATATTCATAAAATTGCTAATTAATATTTATTTTCTACAAATAAGGTTGTTTTATAAAAAAATATACTTTTACTCACTGTATCTGATCTTCGATTATATAAATTTTCTTAGTATGCAATAATTATTCTCTATTCTTGAGTATTGTATTTGCCATTGTGCGGTTTATTTTATTGCGTTACGCAATTAGAAAAGCCTATAAAGCTTAGTAATATACCAATATGACACAAACGATAAATAACATCGAAAAGAAAGACATACCTTTTTGGTATCGTCCAACGTTGTGGGAACATAGTGAGCATTGATCGCTTGCGCCATAGTACAGTAGTCGCGATACAAAATGTATTGATCCTTCAACCAATACCTAATCGCGAAAACTCTCTCCCGAAACTGATCGTTCGGCTTCGATTCCAAGTCATCTACATCTGAAAAAAAGTTCCATATTTTCAACGTGCGTGAATATAAAATCAAGAATATATCTACACGCGGAATATATTTAAGAATATATTTTGAATACATCTGAATGCGTTTGTGCATAATGCCTTCATTTAAATGCAAAATGAATTTAATGCATTCGTCATACGACTTTACACCGCTATCGGTTTGTACGTTCTCATTGTTTCGATACAATGCGGATTCCTTCTATTCATTGCTAGAGTCGCAATTGTCGGCGCATTCGCCGCGACACGACTCGCCACTTCGGGCGCGTTCATTAAAATGACATAAATCGCGAAATAAATCGAAAAGGAAAAACGTACGAAATGTAAATGTAAGATCTTTAATTAAAGATAAACACACAGACAATATAATAATTTATTTATTGTTGAGAAATGAAAGTCTTTTTATTCAAACTAGAAAGCGGTTGTTAATAATTGATATCGTAAATATCAAGAAATATCTATAAAAATAGATTTATAAAAGATTTCTTTAAATCATTTAATTAATTTATTACATAATTTTATAAAAAGTTGATATGAAGAAAGACATATTAAAAAATAATTACAATTGCATTACATTAGTTACGTCATAGATACATTTTGTAAAATGATAGACAATTGATATTGAAACTATGATTCTTCATGTTTGCTGATTCTATCTGATAACGGATGATTACTGACATTATAAAAGATACGAAGGACAGTCTATTCTAAGCGCTAATGAATATTTAAATGATATAAATGACAAAAAATTTATAGGTTTTCTGATTGTTAATATTGAAGGACATAACTATAAAGAAGAAATTAATAATTATAGAATAAAGCATAGTATAATTGTAATAATTATACAATTATTTTTATTGTAATGTGCAATGTATGATTATGTAAAATTCACTGAAGAGAACCATTAAAGATTAAAACGTTTGAAAATATTTGAAATTATTTTATCCTATGACTTTGGTTAATAATAATGAATGACAAATAAATTGGATCGAATTGTCCATTTTTTCTTGTATATATTTGAATATATTCATTAAAGCTCTTTATTAAATTATTAACTTCTTTGTTTAAATTTATAAATTACCAAGCTGCGTAAATTCTGCAATCTTCGGAAATTTCAGAGGCTTAAAATAACTTCCAGTAGAACCCAATTCTAGTCTTAAGTTCTTCAATTTGTGTAGATATTTCTGGAGATCTTCTCGTTCTTGCTGCAGTCGTAGTTCGACAATCCGCTTCCGAAGTCCGCGCATTTGTTTCCCGTCAAATCTCAAAGCTTTGTCTTCCTTATGACTTCCTGTGCTATTACGATTGACGGCTGACTTCGAATTCGTTGTTCTCGTTCCTTTCTTTCTTCTCTTGAAGTTATGTTCATGACTATTATGATTAGACTGAAAACATTATTAGAGATGACGAAATGACTTTTCTTGCCAAAATACATTATGTAATCATTACATAATGATTTTTTGGCATTGCAAATATATCGATTTGGCATTGCAAATATATCGATTTCAACTTGGACCTTCAACGAGTTATTTATGTATTATTATTCCCAAATTGAATCAATAGTATTTAATCTTTAGCGCCTATTTGAAAATAAGATCATATTTTTAAAATGTTACAATTTTTTTTTTAAATAAAATTTGTATAATTCATCATTTTATTGTATTTCTTGCCTTAAAATGACATAGTGGCTTTTCTGTCTTGTAAAAGTTAATCGCAAAATGTATGTGATTTTAAAACAAAGACAATTAAACAAGAATTCTATATTCAATCAAAGCAGATCTTGATGCTTAAATATTTTTGTGCGAATTTATATATATATATATTTAAAATCTGCAAACTGCGCGCCAAAATCATTTTCGGTCTGGAAATGCAATCATGAACAGAAATAAATCAGAGTATTAATATAATTTATTAAACTCTCGACAAGCAATTTAATAATTTTTTTATGCTATAAAGATGCTGATAAATATCTTTATAAGAATATTAATAATCTGATGTTAATAGGAAAACAATTTTGGAAAAAAATTTTTTTAATCTATAATATCATAAATTAAAAAAAATATTTAAATAAAGAGAAAAATTTGATCAAAAAGATAAAGGCTATATTAGAATAAAAAATATCCCAGCAGTAATACTTACAATTTTATGTTTCTCCGAAGAGTGGCAATTTTCGTTCTCTTCTTTCACTTTTCTCGTCTTCAATATATTCTGGATTTGAGACGCGCTTTTCTTATCAAAGGGGCTTTTCGATGCTTTTGTCGCAGTTTTCGAATTCGTGTGTTTTTTAGCCGATGCATCTTTGTGTGATCTTTTTTTCAGTACATATTCGGCGTTCTGTTTTTTCGGAATCCGTTGATCTAAGTTTTCTTCTAAAATATCTTCTCTTCTCTCTTTATTCTTCTCTAACGACAAATTAGATTTAGCCGACTCGAGCCAGTCGTCGTCGTTCGCCACCGGCAATCCGATGACATCTATCACCGCGCGTTCCCTCGCTCTGTTCGCTTCCTCACGCTCTTTCCGGTTGCTTTCTTGTCGGACAGTCATCCTCGAGGAGTTTTTCTTCTCATCTGTCTTCGTCACGTCGCCGGTCAACGAATCCGAGGAATCCAATGAGTTCTTATTGGAACTTACGGTTGAAAGATTCGTCAGACCGATTGCATTATCACCTTAAAATTATCGTTACAATGATAGAACTTTCCGATTAAAAAATCTTAAAATAAAAAATTTATGTATTATATATTTAATGACTATTAAAGATTACCTCTAACATAAAAAAAAATTATATTTTAGGTAGGACGATTGTATAACATATTGTTTCGAAATTTAATTGCTATTTATAAATATTATAGAAATATTTTATTAATTCAACAAAATAATTAATAAAGAGAAAAAGATTCCATTTTATATTTTTCTAATTTTTTATCTTTTAGTTATATTCAAGTCATTGATCGCAAACAATAATTTATTGACCTAAGTTTAATAAAAACACTTGAAATAATCGGGACAACTCGATAAATTGGGAAAAATTGTTTAAACAAAAGGAAATATGTTGAGGTTATCTGAATGTGATGATAAAATGGCCACTTTTCCTATATTTTTACAGACTTTAATTTCTTCAGATCTATTTGGACTTTCCATGAAGTCTGTTCGCATCAATTACAATTAAAAATATCCTCAAATATATTCCTTTGTTTAAAGCAATTTTCTCGCGGAATTCTATTTCAAAATAGATCTCCTAATACTTATTGTTAGACATTTCATTGGAGCAACTCCAATTCTAACGCCGTCGTTAATTATTTATAACATTTTATTTATTTTACCACTTGAAACATTTTCTTCTCGAAATGACTCCTTTCGACACTGATAACTTCTCTGATTTTTCGAACGCGAATTGACGGATCGTGGCAATTTCAATGAACGTACACTCATGTTATCTGGATTCCTGATGATGCTCTCGAGATCGCTGACGTGGTCTGATGGTCTCGGATCAATCTTGGTTGCACTTTTCGGCATCAGATCGAATCCGTCACTGCAGCCGAATAAAATATTTTGCAAAATCATTTTCACATTCATAAAGATTTGATCATTTCGAGAATATCGACACTTTGCCACTTTACATTCGTGCTTGTGATAATAAATCATTGATTACGATCACGGCGTTCGTCATGAGCCATTCGATTTTTTCTATCATTAATTGTAAGTTAAAACATTATCTCTCAACACTCTTATACAATGCGTTTCGACCATCAATTATATTTACACACTTACACGCATTAATTACATTTTTATCTTCATTTTCATAGAAATAAAATTACATTATTAGAATCAGTAATAAACATTAAATGTTCTTCTTTATATTTATTATACAAATAATAAAATTTATTTATGTAGGAACTATCTCCTAATTTAATTATAGGACTCTGCACTAATAATATAAAAAAAGTTTCAATCGAATTGGCTGAAATTGTGATATTTTGTAGAAATCATGTACAAATCAAAAATATTCTTAGGTAAAATATATAAAATGGGCAATTTATTCTACTGCCATTTGAAAGTCGTTAAAACTTGCAGTAAATAAATATTTATTTAATAAAAAAATTAATTAATGTTCATCAAATTAATGTTTATATCAAATAAATATATGCTTACATTTAATAAATATTTACTTAGAACTATTTAATAAATATTTATTAAAATTCCTTTCAATGTAATGGGAAATGCTTTTTTTTTATAAAAAATATATATATAATATATATATATTTTTTTATAATAATATAAAATAATTTATAATATAATGTATTGAACTACCTGTACTCCTCAGTACTGTCCTGATAAAATCTGTATTCCGCAATGTCCATTTTTTTCCCAGATCCCACTCCATTAATTTGCACCTCTTTCTTTCCATTAATCATTTCCTCGCGCTGCGATCGAATGCTCGAGCTGGAAATGTCCTCGAAGGTATCGTTCGCATATCCGTTTTCAGCTAGACTTTTCGAACTGTTGGAAACTGTCACGGAAGCGTTTTTGTCTGTTACATGTTTAGAATTGTCGGAAACGTCGATAATGTCTTCAATTTTAGTCACAAAGCTTTCTTCGACGTGGGAAAGTTCCGAAATAATTTCACTGCCGTTCTCCATCATACCAATCGACTCCTCGACAACGCTATCATCACGTAAAAATTCCGAATCCTTAAAATTATCTTGAATTCTTTTAGAATCTACCTTTTTCGACGTTTCTGTCGCTTTGACATCAATAAAACACTTTTTTTGGTCGATCCTGGAAGTCTCGTTTGATTTTCCAGACAATCTTAGTCGCTTCGAAATTGAATTATCAGACGGTGCTTTCCCCCTCGAGATTTCGGATGATTTACTAAACTCCTTTCCTCCCTCGGACTTCGCAGTGATTTTTGTTCTCTCCAAACGTCCGGAAGATCGTCCGCTGGCCGAGAAAGAGTTTCGCCGCGATGTTTTCGAGTGCGAGAGTGATTTTGATGGAATTACTGAGTCATCGAGCACGCTTTCGATCGAACTGCTCTCCTGAATCGTCATTGGATCCGAGATAAGACTTTCTTGTTTTCCTGCGGAACGCGACAATTTATCATCTAATGATGACGCATCCTCAAGATCGATCTCAGCGGCTTCTTCGGGAAGTTTCGCGCTCACTTTGTCTGGCGTCGATATTTCATTTCTCGACGAAAGTTTCGCTTCCTCCGCGTGTCCTTCAAATCGAGTATCCGGCATTTTTATATCGAGTTTGAGCTTTGTAATTTTCTTTGATGATTCCTTCGAACTGTCCAAAGGAATTGAGACGCTGCTTATCGAGCTGTCTGTATCCTGGAATTACAAAATAAATTAAATATTATATAAATAATGTTGTCAATTTCTCAAAAAGAATTTAACAATTTTTAATTTTTAAAACTAGAAAAAGACAAAGAGTAAACCGAGATTAAAGTCAATCAACATTGGTGGAAATGGACATTAATGAACGCGTTCAAGTCAACAAAGTGGCTAACCTACTTGCCAAACAAATAAACATAATTAGTTGTTACTTATAGATCCAACCAATCACATTCAATCGCTTGGCGAGCAGTTTAACCGCTTCATCCCGACACTTGAATACATCCAATGTTAAGCAGGGAGCACAAACTCTTGCATAACGCATAACACATAATGCATAAGAAAATGTACCAATCGAAGTTCTCCATTTCCCTCCTTTCAATGAAATAAAAAACTCTGGTTCAATTTTTTACGCCTCATGCGTTATGCGTTATGCAAGAGTCTGTGATCTCCGCTTTAAATGGAGAGCATAAACTCTTGCACAATGCGTAACACATAAGAAAATGAACCAAAGTTCTTTATTTCCTTCCTTTCCATGAAATAAAGAACTCTGATTGATTGATTTCTTCATGTTTTATGCGTTATGCAAGAGTCTATGCTTCCCGCTATACTGTTAGTTAATTTGTGTGTTGCAGGCTGTCACAATAGGCCTGTTCTTTTTGGCTGAACTTTTGCACCAGTTTATTTTTCTTTCTTTCCTCCTGGAGAGAAAAGAAAGAAAAATGAACTAGTGCAAAAGTTCAGCCAAAAGAACAGGCCTAATATCTAAAATATTAAAATTAAATAACGAATGTATTATACACACAAAAATAAAAATACGAGGGTCATTTGAAAAGTTTTGAGTTTTAACATGAAGATGGCATTATTCGTCAAAACCATTCTGGTACTACAATGTATATGTTTTGCAAGATATCTATGAAAATTATAACCATTTTGGACGCTCAGTTGTTGTTTGAGAGTCATTTGTGCCAGTCGATGTCAGTGTTCTGTAAAAATGGAAAAATCGGATAAAATGGAATATCGATGATCGCCATAACAAAAATTTATGAATTGCGATTCGAATTAATTAACTACCCATCGTATTCACCAGATCTGATCCCCAACGACTTTTCCCTGTTTCCTAGGTTCAAAGTTAGGCTCAGAGGACACAGATTTTCATCAAATGAAAACACTGACATCGACTGACATAGATAATTTTCAAACAACAACTGAACGTTCAAAATGGCTACAATTTTCACAGATATCTTGTGAAACATGTATGATTATAGTACCAGAAGGATTTTGACGAGTAATATCATCTTCATGTTGAGGCTTAAAATTTTTCAAACGATCCTCGTATATCATATAATAAATAACATATATTATATAAAAATAAAGTAATCAAAAGAATCCCAGTATTATTAATAATTTTAATTTAAATTTCAAATTTGAGGACAAACCCAAGCAGATCAAGTCATTATGATATTAAAATGATGTCAAAATGACTCCAAAATGATCATTAAAAGTCATTTCCGATTCATTTTAATATCGTTTTAATGTTATGACTTGTTCTGCTTGGAAATTATAATTTTAATATTAATTCTTAACATTCGAAAATTTCTTTTTATGGATTTCTATCGGGTCTTTCTCTTCTGTTCTGAATATTTACCTCTTTCCATTTCTGCTCTTTGCTCTTCATCTTGTATTTCTCCTCGATCTCTTTCAGACGCGCCAGCGCGGCGTTTGCTTTTAAGGAAAGCATTTCTTTGTCTTTTTTTTTTAGATCCGAATCTAAATTTATTTAAAAATTCTGTGCTCGACTTTATGTATGTGCATCACTTGTAAATTTCAATTATCCACAAAGTAACGAAAGACGAATATCTTAATTTTGAAGTGAGTCACGATAACTTATTCTATTCGTTTTCGCCATGATAAGTTTGCTTTCTCGTTGCCATGGAAACGGTGTGGGACATCACAAGAAATATCGATGGTCATGATATATCGAGAGTCATTAGACCTATTGAATATAAAATGTATGGTATTTACAGGCAACTTTATCGTGCTTTGGAAATATGAGTGAAATTTTGATAACGATTATTTAATTATATTTTTATGATTTAAATATTTATTGATAAGAACATGACATAACAGTTTAAAATATTCTGTTGATTCTTTTGTTAATATAACTTTTATTAATATAACTATAATATAGCTTTATAATACTATATAACTTTAATTTATTCTTTTATCAATATAAGTAATATAACTCGCGCGTATTACATTGTTTACACTTAGATAATTCTAATTTTGGACACAATTTGTGATCACAACTCAGTAATTGAATGCAAGTTCCTTCCCAAGTAGAACAAGTACAATTATGATATCAAAATAATGTTAAAATGACTCCAAAATAATTGTTAAAAATCATTTTTCAATTATTTCCGATTCATTTTAATATCATTTTGACGTTATCGTGACTTGTTCTGTTTGAGTTTTCATTCTGACAAATACGAAATTCAATTGACTTTTGCACAAGCTGAGAATAATAAAATACATTAAATTAATTATAATTAATTAAATCAATAATTTATTATCAATTATTCTTCTTAATTAATAATTTATAAATAAATCATTATCTCCGAGTATAAAATACTTACATTAACTTTGACTCAGAGTATCACTTGTATGAAACTCGAAAGCAAAAAAATTATCGAGAATTAAGAAAGAAAAAACCTGTAAGATTCATTTTTTTCCAAAAGAAATTACAAAGTTTTTTCAAAAACCGCGCGCATTTGACCGCCAATCGGGGGCTTTCGTTGCATCGGGCGATTCCGTCTAAATTCGGCTATTCCCGTTTTTCGCGTACTGCCATATCGACAATAGATAAGCGGCCGCGGAAAATCGGCGTGACGTAAAAGTTGTGCGTGGCGCGGCGTGATGAACGGCGCCGCTGACTGCCACGGCGCGGCGCACCGCTGGTTAAGCGTGGTCAGCGCTGATTGGTCGTCGCGTCGTCCGCCAATCGGCGTCCTCCATCTGTCTACCTCGACGACCGTAAACTCGCCAACCACGTCCACGGAGCGAGCATTATCGGCCAGTTCGTCGTGGTGGCAGGTGCTTTTTTCGTCGTCGATCATCTCGGACTCACGTCGTCCTGTCGGCGTCCGAAAATGCGAGCCTCCTGCGCGTTCGTCGTACTCTTGGCAATTGCCGTGGCCACGGCGGAGGTGTATCTCGACGAGAAATTCAATGATGGTGAGTAAAAAGTCATTTAAATTTGTCGATTACAAAGACTACCCGGCTCGGCCCGGCGGCGAACAATCGTTTGGGTGGTGGTGGGCTTCTCCCTTTGCCACGAAGACCATCGCCAGTCTCACGGCGAACCACACCCTCGATTATTCGCCGTCATGCGTGTCTCCCAACGGGAGGATAACACCGCGAAGAAACAATGACGGAAACGTCGTCTTCATGGGCGAAATGACATGAATACGAGTACGGCGATCTCTCCTTGGTAACCGCACGCCCTGCTGCGCTCCGGTGGCCCGTTCCATCTCGCCGGCTGACGTCGCGTATCTTCCGCGGGAGATCGTCAGTTAACACGACGGGAAATTGTTAAGAACCGTATCGTGACACATCGTGTTTCCGCATTTCAAGCCGTATCGACCATATGTGCCTCTCGGCACTCTCGGCAGGGATAAGAGAGGGAGAGAAATGGAGAAAGAAAGAGTGGAAGGACGAGAGAGGAGCATCGCGAAAGATCGAGTGACCGACACGCAGACGGAACGTCGGAAGTCGCTTCTCATGGCAGTCGCCGCCGCGCGGCATCTTGCGACTTGCCCGCCGCCGCCGCCGCACCGCCGACATGACGCCGCACAGATCGATCCGTCGATCTGTAATGTAAGCTCGAGACTCCGACGGTGCTCCGCGCGATGATCCGAGGCGAGAACTCCGACGTGGCCGGAGTAAACGGCCTTCACAGGTCTGTTTGCGTTACCACGTATATCTCTCGGCGCTCTTCTTTCCTGTGCGTCTCCATTTCGTTTTCTTCTTTATCTCTCTCGTGCGAAATCCATCGCGCCTGTGGCTGTCTCGCTTCGAGTACAGAGTGTACTCAACGAACGGATCTTGTCGTCGGATGTTATCCCGTTAAATACAGAATTTTGAGCGAGCATCACACTTCGTCCTTCGAGCTCGTATCATTTTTAAAGTATGCAAAGTATAATAAGATACGGACCTTCGGTCTCTTTTTTTGTAGCTCGATTTCTTTTTTTTGCGTGTCGAGCGGACGTGGAGGTAGTCGGGACTGGATGGAAGAAAAGAATTGCAAGGGAAACAGATCTCTTATGTTTGCCGATGACAATGGAAGCGCGATAATTAGACTTCGTTCCTTCTTGTCTCTTGCATATTGAATTATCATTGAAATTAAGTATGCTGGCGAGGAAGTATTGTATTATCTTTTCACCTCTCGACGGTCGTTGCCTTTTTAATTTTTAACCGGTTCTCTTCCCCCCTCCTTATTCATCTTCCTGCTCGGGAACGCGAATAGAAGTTGTCTGTAACCATGTTGTTGTTTAATATTTATTGTTTTTCTGATAAATTGAGATTCTAGGAAATACATAATTTTTTTGTTTTTAGGTGGAAGTCGAAAAATATTATAGCTTGTAAATATATTACAATTTTTTCAATAAATTTTTTTAAATGGGTTTTTATTTCCCTCATTAATGATTTTCAAATTTAAAATTTAATACATGATTCAGTTAAGTAAATTTATAAAACAAAGTAAATTAAAATAAATAAGTTTCAACAAAATGTACATAAAATATATATTTTATTAAATAAATTGGATGTTTATAATTAATAAAAAATACATTAAAAATTGTTATATAAATTTACAAAGAGATTGTCAATATTTCAGATTCCTGGGAAAAGAATTGGATTTATTCCGAGCATCCTGGTAAGGAATTCGGAAAGTTTGTTTTAAGTTATGGAAAGTTCTGGAACGATCAAGAAAATGATAAAGGTATTTAAAAGGAATACAGATAATTTGTTATAAAATATAAAATTCACTTATACAACTTGTATAACGAGTCCATTTTGTGAAATTTTTCTCAGGTATCCAGACATCGCAAGACGCAAGGTTTTACGCTCTCAGTAAGAAATTTACTCCATTTAGTAATAAGGATAAAACCCTTGTTATTCAATTTACTGTAAAGCATGAACAGAACATTGACTGCGGAGGTGGATATGTTAAAGTATTTGACTGTTCTCTCGATCAGAAAGATATGCATGGTGAAAGCCCTTATCAGATTATGTTTGGTAAGTTTCCTTATCTCAGAATATATTATTGATAGCGAATAATCAGTTAGCTCGAGCCTAAGAGTCACTGGTCATACCAGTGTATGATAAGTGCTACAGGAACTCGAAGAGAAATATTCTTTCATTATGCCCTGTAATAAATATCTATATATATTACAGGTACCAGAAAAGATACATTCATTAAAGAAGCTAATTAGCTTAGATAAAGTTCATTAAATTATCTTGCTTGTTTTGTATAAAAGTGATTTTATATCATCAATTTAGAAATTATTACATGCAAAATGATTACATAAAATTTATATATATATATATATATATATATATATATATAATGTATATTTATTTTTTTATTATTTAATCGATTTCAACTCAATGATATGCTTATTTCTATACAGGACCAGATATCTGTGGACCTGGAACCAAAAAAGTTCATGTTATCTTTAGCTACAAAGGAAAGAATCTTCTAATTAACAAAGATATCCGTTGCAAAGATGACATTTATACACATTTGTATACTCTGATTGTCAAACCTGATAATACCTACCAGGTAAATATGCGCTACGTTCGTGTAAAATTATAATCTTTGTTACACACAAGCCATGGCATACAGAAAAATTTAAGATGTAAGCAGTAAGGAAATCAACATGTTGAATTTGCTATTGCTTACATTATAATGGTCTCTGCTGATTAGTCACTTCGCCTCCTGCTTACGTTTTACTATTTAAATTCTTTTTATATCATGGCCTTAAACATTATCGAGCCTAGAGTCACATGTTCTCACTGATTGCCGTGGAGGATAGGTGCTACAGGATCTCGTAGAACGAAGATTATCTTGCTTGTTAACCGTATAGAGGGGATACCGCTCTATACGCATCAAGCAAAGATCAACACATTAATACAACTAAATGAAAGTTTATCTGATTTGATGACTCTTCAATAAAATTATTTTTCAGGTACTTATTGATAACGAGGAAGTTGAATCTGGCGAATTAGAGGCAGATTGGAGCTTCCTCCCTCCGAAAAAGATTAAGGATCCATCTCAAACCAAGCCCGCTGACTGGGACGACAAACCCAGCATCGACGATCCCAATGATAAGAAGCCTGAAGATTGGGACAAGCCCGAGCACATTCCTGATCCTGAAGCAACTAAACCCGAAGATTGGGATGATGAGATGGACGGCGAATGGGAAGCGCCCATGATCGACAATCCCGATTATAAGGTTTGTATGCTGAAATTGATATGCATTTAGAGGTTTATCGGGTATTTTCCTCATCTGTCATTATTCTTAAAATTTATATAATTTTTCAGGGTGAATGGAAACCAAAACAAATCGACAATCCCAATTACAAGGGACCGTGGATCCATCCCGAGATTGATAATCCCGAATACACGCCCGATCCCGAATTGTACAATCGTGATGAAATCTGCGCTATTGGTTTTGATTTGTGGCAAGTTAAATCTGGTACCATTTTCGATAACGTTTTGATCACCGATGATCCGGAAGTCGCGCGCAAATTTGGAGAAGATGTCTGGAAACCCACTTTGGTAAGTACTTATTCATTATTGCTGTTGCCTTTTATTCATTTGTTTAATTATTGATATGTGATCAACTCATCATAGATCTCTAAATTTTTAACAATAAATGAATTAGAAAATATTTTATCCTGTAAATCGTAGGAAGGTGAGAAGAAGATGAAAGAATCACAGGATGAGGAGGAAAGGAAACGGCGAGATTTAGAAGCCAAGGAAAACGAAGATAACAAGGATGATGAGGACGATGAAGACGCAGATGAGGAAGAGCACACTCACTCAGATAATGATGTAAGTATAACGATTCTATGCATCTGAATTTACGTTCTATTTTCAAATTTTACGATTAAACTTGCGCATGATGTTCATATTTTCTCTGATTTCTAGTGACGAGAAAAAATTGGAATTCCTCGTTTCTGAGTTTAAACATTTTAATAGATTCTTTCGATTTTGTATGATTAACGATGATTAACTGCTTTGTTTTTTGTTTGCAGGCGCATGACGAATTGTAAATAAATGTGTCGCGTGTGAACACAAACACAGACTGTATTCCAGGAGCTACGTGGTCGCGACACGCACTAAATTCTCCCACAGGCAAAAAATTGTAATCTAAAAACACAATAGCAAAAGAACAGAATAATACCCTTGTTGATTATGTCGCCCGTCGTATTGTTCACAAGAACATCATATTGAATTCCATTTTAAGCTTTTGAACCAAAAATCTTACCCGGTTTTGCTAGTGTTTTTGGCCTTGGTATCACAGCGCCTAAAACATTCTTAGCCACCCAAAAAACTTTGTATTCGAGTGAATTTATTATCTTAAAATATTACACGCTTAACTCAAGTGATCTACATTTCTGCAAAGTGTGTGCTGGAATACGGAAAGAACAGATATTAGAAAATAGAAGATACAAAAGGAAAAGTGTAGAGAAGAAACAAGAGAGTCGTCTAGCCCGTGTCCACCATCGGCGCAGCTCCACAAAAGACTCTAAGTTGTTCCGTTTTTGTTTGTCAAGTGTTTTTATATACATTAAAAGGTAATTGAGATGTAATTTAAATAACATGATGCTATATTATATATAATATATACATTATTTCAATTTCCGTACAATGTACGCGTAATTCAAAAGAAAAAAAAATCGCTGCAATTATTAAAAAAAAAGCAAAACGTAAGAATGATAGATGTGTGCAAATGTGACTGAGTGATTACAATTGGTATGATTATGTATCAGAGGCAATCCAATAATCATGTAATAAAATAAATAAGACTTTTCTAGATGTGCTCAGGCGTTTATTTTCGTGAAGTCTCAAGCGCATCTCGATCGAACGCTAAATCCAATCCTATTGCTGATTCATTTTCATCATTTGTAGTAATGTGTGAATCGATTATGCAAATTGCTTCCAATTACCATTGTATATGTACATATATGCATATACACGCTATTTTATTGTATCATGTTCGAGTATAATTAATCTTGTAATTTCATTTTTATATCGGAAAATAAACTGATCATTTTTCTTCAAAGTGACTATGTCATGACTTACGAATTACTTTTTTCTTTTTTGGTATAGCGTGACTTAACAGAATAGATTTATTTCTCGTGGATTGACGAGCTAATAAAGGGAGATCTGCGATATAGTAGATTCATCATTCACACACGTTGACATCCATACTTATTGAGCGAATAAAAAAAAGATTTATATCATAAATAAAAAAAATGATTATATAAAGTGTGATCGACGTCGAAATGTGTTGTGTGGCTGAGATATTATTTTTTAATATAATTCTCTGAATACGTGCAATATTCGAGTTTATTTTATGGGAACAGCTAGAAAACAAATCATTTTCAACGTCGACTGTACGTACAAATATTTATCTTGCATGATATCTATCTATCTATCTAACTTCAGTCTGCTTCATACCATCTTAATGTGGAAATCACAATTAATTAGCGTTACACTTGTGTCTTCGGCTTTTTCCATACATAAATAATTTTATAAAGAAAAAAATTTATACACATTGCGTCGAAAGCCAATCAAGACCTTGTAACGTACCACTGGCATTGGTAACTAACGATGAGCCTTGAATATGCCATATTCTCGCACAACAAAGTTTATGCAAGCCAAGTATATCGACTAATTCCTCCACACTCGCACAGCCAGGAACGTCCTGTACAAATATGAATTTGCTTGGAACTTATGCAATATCTTGTAAAGTAAATGAAGTTAGTGGACAATTATTAGACAAAATAATAAAAATATTAAACTTTTAATGATATGTAAATACATTCGTTGTTTATAAAAATTTAGTAGGACGAATTTATTTAGAGTGGTACGTATCATTAGAAGCTCAATATTTAAAACTTTTGTTATTTTTGTCCAATATAATTATATTTATCTTATATAAACATTTTAAAGATGGGAACGTTACATTTACCTGTTTATTAGCATATATTAAAAGTAGAGCATCCTTCAGTTCTCGTTCATAAAGTATTTTTGATAATTCTTTTCGTGCCTCTTCAAAGCGAGATCTATCGCTAGCGTCAACCACGAAAATAACAGCTTGCGTGTTATGATAGTAATGCTTCCACAGTGGTCGAAACTTCTGATGACCGCTAACATCCCAAAGAGTAAATACGAGATTCATGTACTCCAAACTTTCAACGTTGAAGCCGATAGTGGGAATCGGTGGATTTGGTAGCGTGACGCCTCGCATAGCAGATAAAATACTTGTCTTTCCCGCCCCATCCAGTCCTAGGATTACTACTCGCATATCGATCTTTGTTCCAATATGTATTCTGTTATCCTGTTATAAAATGAAGCATTAAAAAAAAATGTATTAACTATATTAAAAAGATAAACATTTTAAAAAATCATCTAATTTAATATTACTGATTAATTCCATTACAAAAAATTAAAGTACTTAAAATGCTTAGAAAAACAAAAATTAATATATAAGTTTATTATAATTGTTTTATAATATCGCTCTAAACTAATTATTCAAAATTAATTCTACAATTGAAAAACAACAATTAAGATATTATATAATTAATCCTATATTCATAATGAAAATTATCTACGAACCCTGCTAAATATAATGGGAATGGAGGATTCAGGACTGAGAAAATCCGGTCCTAATTGCGCATAATGTTGCTGCTGTTGCTCCAATGTCGCTAGCACTTCCTTGACTTTTTCCGAGCTGCTCAGCAACTTCCAGTCCTCGGAATCGAGTATGCTTTCGCATTGAATGCATACACCAGCCACTTGCGATCTCGTAGACGTGAGATCTTTCTGTTGTTGCCTCAATGCGCAAAGTCTACCGCGAGTCTCCGTCTCAATGTAAGCCATCGCTGTTTTCTCTTGTTCGGTCAAAACAGCTCGTAATTCCTCGAAATGATATCGCACTCTCCTCCTCGCGTCTTCGATCGCCCAGCCTTCCAATTCTTCAATTACTATTTCTGAAAATATAAAAACATAAATTGAGAATAAATGAAACGATGAAATACAAATTAGAGAAACGTTTAAAAATATTGAGACTTCTTAAATAATTTTTATTACAAAAATTATTTTTGTTATGTTCTTTTTTCTAAATTGCTAATATTAGGTGCAATTTTAGAAGAAAAAAATAAGATAAATACCTATTTTATGTGCGGTATCTCTCATACTTTCCATAAACTGCGTCATCTTCTGCAATGCCGCGATAATGGACTTCCTGATGTTTTCGGCTTCTTCCTCAACCAATACCGGCTATAATTTAAATTTAAAACATAGGTAAGATATATAAGATATATGGTATATAAAGAAGAAAATTACAGATGATGCTTTTAAGGTTTCCATGAATTTTTTTCTATATAGAACTTTTATGAATTATCTCAGTGTCCAGATGCGTTATTAGAATGCTAAGATATATACAGAGGCTGCTTCTCATGATGAAGTGGACTATAATATTCATGAAACATTCTAATAATTGGCATTCTAATAATGAATCTGAACACAGAGATAATCAGCTTCTGTATATTTACAGATGATATTACCTTGTGCGTACTATGTTTGCCATATTCTTTGCACAGGTAGCACATCAAGGAATTGTGACAGCCTTCTTGAGTACAAGTGAATTCGGCCACATCCGCCGTGTGTATTGGACAGCGAGGCTTCTCGCGTGGCTTCTCCGACAGCGGCACACGTCTGTGTTTCCCCAAGGTTTTGGACGAATGTGTGATAGTGTCGCAAGCCTCACACAGGTGTGTGGCACAGACAGTACAGTAAAGAACTGCAGTATGTGCTTCGTCCTCGTCGCACGACAGATTCGACTGAAGCCTCTCACGCTCCAATACCAGCGTTTTCTGGCTGTTGGATTGCTCCAGTCGTTCAAGCAGCTCGATAAGAGCAAAGTTCTTCTTCAGACTGTAAATGCTATTTTCGTGAATGGCGGTAGGTTGTCGATCAAAGGGACACAGCAAAAACTGCTGTTCCGACATGCAAGTCCTCAACCGCAGTAAGCACGAGTGGCACACTGTGTGTCCACAATGCAACAAACGTGGCACCTTCACACCGTCCACTGTGAAAACTTCCTCGCAAACTCGACATTCCAGAACCTATCAATATTTAAAATATAATCTTGTAAACTTTTATAATCAAATCAAATATTCATAATTAAATATGTTCAGTTTAGTAAACTTATTCGAATGAAATATTTAACTAAATCCCTACAATACATATAAATATTTATAAATCACAGTGTGATTCTAAATGACTGTGATCAAATTCCGATTAATTCAATGGATTAATTAAATCATAAAAATGGTCACAGCAAAATTTCTAATAATATAGTTCATTTTGAATTTTCGTAATCATCCAATTAATATAAAAATTGATAATATTCTATATCTATCTTAATAAACTATGGGTATCACTCATCAATCGGAGTCTGGTCCAAGTCACTCTTGATGCATTATCGTTTCCAAATTTGTCTCACATTTGACTTAGGCGCAGTTTTTAGCGAATGCTTCGTGTATTTACTCAGTCGATCCGCGTTCTCATCCATTGCGGAGATCAGTGGAGAATCCTGACTGACTTTTCGTTCGTCCGTTCCTCGTCCAAGAAATCCAACCGCAGTTTACGCGATAAAGGTTAACAGTAAAATCAGCTCTGAGCGTAAAAGTGCTTAAATTAATTTAAATTTGTTCAAATCATTAAACCAGGATGAGATCGCGGAATGGCGTAGCGACACCGTATCTGTGCGCACGACATTGACGATGCGAAATGTTTTGCATTCTAATCTAAAATCCAACTTATTTACGGAAATCTTCCTTCGCTAAATCCACCTGTCTTGTCCCTCGTCTTTGGGACGTTTCTAGGGAATTTCGGAAAACTGCCATTTAAATTTAGGTTGCTTGCCTCTTTTATGAAAGGATAGCAATCTTCAGGTGCTACATTTGTACGTTTTTGTTGATTAGGTTATTATTATTATTGGCTAATTTACTAAAAACAGCACCTTTTTAAAATAGTTTTGAAGCACATCGATAATATAATTAATGAAAATTTGCCCTAAAATTCGCTAAGGACAAAAATATACTCCAAAACTAATTAAAAAAGTAAAATATACTCCAAAACTAATTAAAAACTTATTTTTAACAAGTTAGTCAATAATAATTTGTCCCTAAAAAGTAGAGTCTCCAATTGGTTCTCAATATTTTTCTCAATGGGAGTCAACTGGGATTATGCTTATAATTGAGAATCCGAAAAAAAATTTAAAAATATTTATATGAAAACATGTAGAGAAATAAAAAAAGAAGAACTTCAAAGATTAATATTTGCATGTAATTTCAATAATGCAAGGATTTTATAAATATCTATATAGTTCTTACGTTATAAATTACAAATCTGCTTAGGTTAATATTCCAAATAGAAATGACAACATGGACAGTGTCAAAGATTCAAAATTCAAACATGCGATGAAAGATGAAGAATCGTGCATCAAAGTTGAATTAAAGTCTGACACCACACGACTCAGTCATCAGGAATTAGTGAAACTAACCAAAGCAACTATAGACAACCTTGTTGAGCATGAACCGTTGCTCTCTGGATTGCCTTCCGATGTCACGATAGAAGAACTTAAATCGCAGATCGCAGTTGCGCAAGGACAAGCCATAACTTTATTCTTAAATCGCGGAGAATTGCCAAAGCTCGCAGTAGTGGTAATAATTTGTTATTCTTACACGTTTCATAATGCAAACTTAAATTAATTGTATTTATCGTTTCAATAACACTCTCTTCGCTTTATTTCAGGTACCTCCACATAACACAACAGTGCTTGATTTGAAAAAGGCCATTAAGAGACATACAAATTTGTCTTTGAAGAGAGAGAATGTCAAGAAGAAGATAAGTTGGAAGCACGTCTGGAAGAAATATCATCTTTGCTTTGGAGACATTAGACTTTCTAATGATAATGAAAATATTAAAGCTTATGGTATTACTAATAAGATAGAATTACATTTTATAAAGAGACGTAGGGAAAAGAATAAATTGATAAAAAATTAGCAATGTTTCTGTATAAATTATTATTTATACTATAGAATTTCACTTGACATTTGTAATGGTGAATTAGGCCATTGCATTACACTGGATCAGTATACAAAGACTGCTTTAAAGTAATATAAATAATATGCATTACACCACTTAAAAGTATTTACTCTTGATTTTTATGTATCTTTTTTTATACGTCTAAATTCTAATCTTTTCTTATACATCTAAATTCTAATTTTACTATTTTCTCTTCATACAGATATCTATTTATAGTACAAAATTTGGAACCAAATATTATTATTATTAAGTCTAACATCTAGAGAATTGGAAAAAAAGATTGAAATGTATTCACTCTTCTTTATTTAATTAAAAAAGACAAAGTGAATAAATATTTTTGAGTGATAGTGTAATAGTAAGTAATCTAAATACAGCATAATCTAATCAATTTTAACAATGAAATGATACATGTAAATTTCACCAAATAACATGACAATATTTAATTGTTCAAAATATTTATAAACCTTTATTTAACTTTTATTTATTTAACTTTGCTAATTTCATGTTACAGCAGCTTTTAGTATACAACAATTTAGTATAATCCAAATAAATTCGTTATAATTTATAGTTCTTTAAGATTGTGCAAAAAATAATTAAATACTGTGTAAATAAAAATAAATATTTTTCCTTTTAGTTACAAGCTACATTATGATTCTTTTATTCGGTATTAGTCTTTCGATTTTTCTCCAGGCATAAGAATTTCACAAGTCAATCCTGGTATACAATCCTCTAACATAAAGCAACTTAGCTCAAAAGCGACAGACTTATTATAATTCGTTACAATCAGTTTCTTCAAATTTATCATTCTGTACAGAGATTCCAGGCCTCTTTCAGTGATCTTCTCGCAGCCGGAGAGGTCCAGATATTCCAGTTCAGGGAACTCGGCCGAGATCTTGTCCAAGCCCCAGTCGTCGATGTTCTTACAGTCCTTGAGACTGAGCCACTTGAGTTTTATGAGGCCACATAAGTTACTTAGACCTTCGTAATGCAGATCAAATCTATTGACATCTACCGCCTCAAGGATGTAGCGTGGATTGTAATTGTTTGGTAACTCGTATGAGCCCTTCTTGTTCTGTTCTGTCCAGTAAGTATTGCCCCTGAATCTGACCCGGCCGCCACGATGAATGATAAAATGAGCGGTGGCCAGATCGGCGCCTAATATCTCGTGCCTCATCGGATTGAATGACTGAGTTAATTTGATATATTCATCCTTATTGTGCTTGAACCACTTTAAGATATTACCAAAGGCTAAGTCAGTCTCTTTAGGAGCGGCCGTAGGAAACCAGACGAACTTCTTGGGCTTCTCCGGGTCATCTCCGGGTTTGGATATCACCGAATTCAACTCATTGTTTCGCCACTCATGCTGTCGTTTCTCATGCTCTACGCTGTAACTACGTGCTATCTGAACGAGTGCGTCATCCCGGAAGGATAAATGCTTGCACAGTTGTTTACCGCGTGTGAGTGCCAGTCGCCTCGCTAGCATTATCCGTTAAAGTGTGAATTAATTCAGAGAAAGCTTTCGGTCTGAAAACAATGCATGCCGTGCTGTATTTTGACCTAACCTATTCTGACTTAATCCAGTTGTGATTGATCAAGCAGCTGATTTCAAATTGGTTCATCTATAGTTGATATATGACAGAATTTTCGGATACTTAGGATATGTTAAAGATTACATTAAAAAGTTTTTTCCTAGTGAACATTTTTCTCAGAATTTTTAATGTAATTTTTCAGAATTTTTGTACATTTCGAAATTTTTTAGAATTTCTGAATAATTTTATAACTTTATAGAAAATTTTTCAGTTACAAATTCATAAATTGGAATATTTTGCAGAAGTGTTGAAAAAGGTTTTTTCTAGAATTCTTCATATATTTCAATTTTGAAACATTATAAAATTTTCAAGATTGTTTATTTTATAATTTTTATGGTGGAATCTTATATTCTGAAAGAATTAAAAATATTTTTTCAGAAATTATAGAACGAAAAATCTTCGAATATTTCTGAATTTACATAAATAAAAAATTCCATTAATAATAAAATTCTATTAATAAAAATATAAATAATAAATAAAAAAAGGAAAGGTGCAAAAAAAATATAAATTTTCTCACTAGTTCTGAAGTGTTTTTTCAATTCGTATAAAAATTAGAAAAATTTTTATCAGAGTTATAATGCAAATCTGATAAATGCATCTTCAAATAAATAATGTCAATTTTATTTTTTATAACTGTATATTATCTGTTTGTATACAAACGTATATTCCTATTTTGTACATAAATTTTGAGACTTTGGGAATCTCAGTCTACAATCTAAATAGATTTATGTTTTATTACATCGTTGCAGAAAGCTAAAAGCAAGAGATTGCACTTTTACAGTAATGTTAGAATCAACATTACTTAAGAATCGACAGGAGTGACAGAGTCAACTCCGAATTTATTCGTTGCATTTTATTTACATATCATCATATTTTGCCTCTAAGAAGAAATATTTCACAATTATGTTCTTAAAAATATTATATTAAATGAGATTATCTGCTTCTTATTGCAATATAGACATAAATGTTCAATCATATTTTGTCTTATAGAAGCAACATTTTGTCACGAGATTTTTTGGCTTATGTTTTACGAAACTGCAAAATTTCCATTACGAATTGAGTCGAATTTTGCAACTTGAGCCTCAAAACATTATAATAAAAACTTTTCGTTAATATATTTATGTTTTAATAAATTACTTGTCTGTGTTTATATTTTTATGCTCGCTATTGATCTATTTTCTTAATTAATTATTATAATAAAGTTATCTGAATCTCAACTGCACATTGAGTCTTCTTCTTGTGGCCTTGTGGATTTCTAATTTCAAGAGTTAATGTTCTGTTTCTCTATGAGAAAGATTGGACTGATCTTCTCGTCAAATCGAGTCAGATATCAAAATGACTTTTTATTTTACTCTTTTTTTTTCAAAAATCGCTTTGTAACAGATTGCAGATGATTCTTCTGATTACAAATATCGCAATTACAATTCTTTACGATTCTTTCTTTTTTTTATTTTAACTATGATATAATTGAATAAAAATTCGATAGAGAACTTCATAGTCCCTCCTGTCGACTTTTATATTTATATGAGTTGTTTTTCGAGTTATTTGTACATCATAACATCTGGGGATTGATACATGCACATGTATGCATCACAAAGTAGACGTTTCGCGTGTTCTGGCAAATGACGGTCGTCTTTTAATTCAGTCAGGTAAGTCCCTCCTTCTTCACTCAACCAATAAGGAAAATCTGGACATGGCACCATCTCCGGTATATTATATCCATTTTGCTCTCCTAATAACAATAAAAGATTTTACATTTAAATAAAAATCACTTAAATAAAAACACAATTTTAATAATTTAATTAAATAATATAACAAATAATACAGGACTCTTAATTTTTTAAAAGACAATATAAAAATGTATAGAACACATAAGAATCACGTAATTAAGTATAAATGTAAGAACTATAATATGATATATTAATTGTAAAAAAAAATTCTATAAATAATACATTGTAAAACACATTACATTAAATGTTTCGGCTTTTGGATTGAGCTGTTCTTAAATAATATAAAATCCACAACCTTAGAATTCATTTCCATCGTCATAGAAAAATCGTGATGAAAGTTTTCCAATTTATATTGATGAATGCCTCAACGAAGACCATAAATTACTTGCAAGTGATTTACTGATCGATTGTTCGGAATTTTATGATATTCTAAAAAAACATATTTGTTAACCAATAAATAAAAATAAAAAATAAAATTAAAATCTGAATAAAATAAAAATCTTT